TTTTCATCTTGAAAGATATAAATATACAGAGATGTTTTAAAGATATTCCTATTATATAGATTAACTAAGTCGATTGTGATCATTGGCTGTTCTTATGTCATTGAGTACTTGTGGTGTACATAGTTCTGTAGAGAGAAATTTAAGTTAGTTTAGTCATTCTCATTTCCTTCTTCAATTCTCGACAATATGATATATTGCTCAGTGAAATAATTTAATATTCTTAAAATAAAATTTTTAATAATTATGAAATTCATTAAAACACCAAACCACCCCGCTTATCATTGAAGTACACGTTGATCCCTAGAAGTATGAGTTCGCTGACTGTACAATTCTTGGTGATTTTGCGTACATAAGCTATCTATGTTTATTTATCTATCTATGGTTGAAACTACGTAGAAGTAACTGAAACATGAGTGGCTTCATGCAAATACAAAATAAATATAAATAGTTTCTCTTGTTGGCCAAATCATCTCTTTCCGTCACATTCCTAATTTGCGATTATAGGTATGTAAACATGTATACGTAGTATTTGATACGAAGCAATTTTGAGGGAGGGGGGGAATCTTTCATAAATGCTAGCCCAAGAATCAGGCTATATAAAGGACGTTTGAATAAAATTGTTTATAATTATCAAATAAAAATTTTGTTTTGGAGAAAAATGTTTGTAATTTTTAGCATTCATACACATTCCCTAGGGTCATGCAAAGTCCCACACAAAATGTGGGCCCGATCGGTTCAGCTGTTTTGACGTTTATTGGATACAAACGGACAGACAGACAAGCAAAGTATACATAGATATGTCTGACAAATTGAAGTCTGGATATATCTGTAGTATTTACAATGTTATATATTATCGTTTGCTTCCTTCCTTGATAAACACTTGGCAACTAACAAAGAGAAGAGATAAGTTTAGAGAGGAATTAAGTTGAAAAAAGTGAAAACCCGTAATTTTGTTGTACTGTTTCCATTCTGCAGGTGTACTTCACACATTTGTGATGAATAACCTTTTGGGCCCTGGAATTTTCTCTTAATTCCTTTTCTGACAACCATTTTAGCATAAACTTGATAAAAAAAAGAAAGTGTAACGGATATGTCTAAGGATACTGCATTATTGTGATAAGGATAAGGATACTGCGTATAACTTGTAAACTTTTTCATGAATTGTACACTTTGAACTCCTTTTCAGGCTGAAAGAAACTGGACATAACTCATACCGAGCGATCAGTCTTATTTCCCTTCTATTCTAATCTCTGTTCTGTTGCTACTAATAGTTTTCCGCACGGTTTCATAATAATACACTCAGATCAATTTATCATAGAAACAGATCCAACCAACTAGGATACTTCTTCATCTAGTTTCAAGACTGGGCTTAATTTTAATTGTTGCAAATTCACTATCGATTCAGAATCAAAAGCAGCAAATATTACCATTCACTATTAGCTCCTATTAAAGGATTCATATGTCTTATTGGTTAATGAGATAGATAAAGAACGATAGATGTTACCGCCATACTATTTCTATTGGTTATATGTCCAAAAAACATTGCCATCTAATGAATATGATTTAAAGGAAACTGTGTCTGATAAGCATACACATAAAAAGATAAGAATTTTGTACGTCTCTTTTTGGTTCTTAAAGGGAGTGTTCGCAAAAAAGGAATGGGGTTTACGTCGAAAAATAAGAGCTTTTTATCGATCCTAAATTTGTTTGATCAAAACCTTTTTAAATGGAGTGTTCGCAAAAAATTAAAGAGGGTATAGGCTTAGGTCGAAAAGTATTGGATTGTGACACCGCTCATACTAATCTCACTTCTATCTTTTGCGTCTATAAAGAGAAAATTGTTAAAAACGACTCACACCAAAGAACGTAGCGTCCATACAAATTCGGAGGGTTGAAAAACATTCAACTCGGATCGTAAAATAATCAATTTAATTCCAAACAAATCATTCAGATAGTCATCGGTTATTTTTCGACGCAATCGTATAAAGTTGATATTTCAAAATATTTTTGATTTTTTTTTTAATATTTCGCTGGCGCTGGATTTTCGAACATTCCTGGAAAATATGAAAATGTCATCTTTAATTAGTATGTTTTTCTGTTCGTTTTTTAATTGAAAATTGGCTCTTTATTTTTAAAACCTTTCGTTCCTAAGCAAATCGAATTCCTTGTTAAGAAAAAGGTATTCCATCCATAGACCACTAGAAAGAAATGGCTATACATGTATTCTATCCATAAACCTCTAGATAGAACTGGATGTATGGCAGGTATTCTATCAATAAACCTCTAGATAAAACTGTATGTATAGCAGGTATTCTATCCATAAACCTCTGGATACAACTGGATGTATGGCAGGTATTCTATCCATAAACATCTAGATAGAACTGGATGTATGGCAGGTATTCTATCCATAAACCTCTAGATAGAACTGGATGTACGGCAGGTATTCTATCCATAAACCTCTAGATAGAACTGGATGTATGGCAGGTATTCTATCCATAAACCTCTAGATAAAACTGTATGTATAGCAGGTATTCTATCCATAAACCTCTGGATACAACTGGATGTATGGCAGGTATTCTATCCATAAACCTCTAGATAGAACTGGATGTATGGCAGGTATTCTATCCATAAACCTATAGATAGAACTGGATGTATGACAGGTATTCTATCCATAAACCTATAGAAAGAAATGGATGTACATGTATTATATCCGTAAACCTCCAAAAAGAAATGGATGTATGGCAGGTATTCTATCCATAAACCTCTAGATAGAACTGGATGTATGGCAGGTATTCTATCCATAAACCTCTAGATAGAACTGGATGTATGGCAGGTATTCTATCCATAAACCTCTAGATAGAACTGGATGTTTGGCAGATATTCTATCCATAAACCTCTAGATAGAACTGGATGTATGGCAGGTATTCTATCCATAAACCTATAGATATAGATGGATGTATGACAGGTATTCTATCCATAAACCTATAGAAAGAAATGGATGTACATGTATTATATTCGTAAACCTCCAAAAAGAAATGGCTGCGCAGGTATTCTATCCATAAACCTGAGCCTCTAAATGAAAAATATCGGGTCTTCGACAAAATGTATCGATCTCCGATAGATCTCCAATGATATTAATTTATTTAGAAGTCTCGGAAGCGTTGTATTCATTTTTATTTTTTCAACATAATCTCATGAGACGGGGGGTGGGCATTAATTGACCCCCCCCCCCACGGAAGAAAAATTTACTTTTTACAGAAATACCCACTAAGAATGAGACTAACGACCCTCTGTAGTAAAATGCTGTCAATTTTTTTTTGGCTTTTGTTTTTTGCTTAACAACTGGTTTTTTTAAACTGTACACTGTAGTGTACAGTTTAAAAATATATTTGAAACATTTCTCTGCTCTGGTCACATATCTCAAGGATTTAGGTTTATAAAACATTGGTATTGGAAACCTGTCAGAACTATCAGATAATACATCTTTGATAACACTGTTCATAAATATAAAAAGTAATATATTCACTATTCACACTTATATATATATATATATATTGTAGAAGCCTGGTTTTTAGTTATAAGAAAATATATATAGATCTATATATATATTTGTTGTTGTTCAAAGAATTTGACTACTGAGGATCGTCATGAGGCGTGAAATATTATGTTTAGTATAATTCTTCTTTAATAAAATGTGAAATTTAAAAACTGAAATATATATACATGTAAATATAATAAAACTCCTATATGTAAGATGTTAGTTATAGCTGGCCAAACGGCTGGATCGAATTTGATGACTTTTTGAGGAAACCCAGGCAGGTACATTTATAAAAAAAAACATCGGACTAAGGAGGAAAAAATATATTTGAATTTTCAGATTAAAATTTTTGTAAATTCGCAATTTTTTCTCAAAAAAATTCCCAATTTTTTTTTGTTTAAAATTCATAATCTCACAAAGTCTGGATACATGGACGAGGAGACTGCTAACTATATTGAGGTCAAGTAGGGGGGGCGGCACCTGCTTGATTCAAATCAGTTTGAATATAGGGTTACAGAGAAGAAACCCAACAAAACCGATTACCAATGCATTCAAAGGAAAAACAATTCTTGTCCTGCAGGAGCAGTTGTAAATAATGAGAATGACAAGACATGAAGTTAAAGAAAGCTCTGGAAATATAGAAATATAGAATTCATTGTTTGAAATATCTAAGGTCTACAACAGCGGGTTGCAAAGATATAGGGATTAAACTGTATGATCTTGTAGAATTCCTAGTTTGCACTAGTCCGAAGTTTATACTAGTCCGACGTTTGTACTGGTCCGACGTTTGTGCGTCCGACGTGTGTACTGTCCGACGTTTGTGGCTTCCGACGTTAGAACTGATACCATATATATATATACATATATATGTATATATATAAATATACATATATATATATTTATGTATATATATATTGTGACATTTTTAGTTAATTAGTAATAACTTTTGGTTTGCTTTAAATAACTAGAAATAACCAGTAAAATCCTCTTTGTTGCCAAAAGAAACTACGTCCTAACTTTTACGAAGCATTCAACCCTCTATTGTTGCTAAAAAGATTTCTAGGCCTCTTCAGGCTGTATAGAGTACACACCCGGCCTTCTGCGCAAGAGAGGCATCATTGTAATTTCTCAACCATATATAAACATTGTATTTTTCATTATACTTTACTCTGTGACCAACCTGTAACAATCTAGGTCCCGATCAATCTCCCAATACTTGACTCTAACTCTAATGATCAGTCTTCCCAACTAAAACTCTAGCCAAAACCCTGTCTCTATACGTCTGTCTAAAACAACGATTGCTACTATACTAATTTATTGATACAGGTAGATATGGGTTGACCGGACTGGCCGGTCAGGGTCAAACAGAAACATTTTTTTGAGATTTAGATATTTATTATCTCCGTATCGAGATTATTTTAAATTTTACAAAATAGTTTACATGGATTAAATAATACAGTTTTACATCAAACTCGTTTACATATATTTTGTGAGAATTATATAGGAGTTAATTTACGGATAATTTTTAAATTAAAATTTGGTATCAATGCTACTTAGATTATTTAAAACATACGAATTGAGAAATGTACCAATGAAGTGGTGGAACATTACATGCATAAAATAGGTTGTTATTGATGAGAAAGGTTTATGTGGATTTAATAAGAATATTCTACAATTGTCTCGTTTACATATAATTTGAGCAAGTTATGTAGAATCAGTTTGCGTCTACATTTTACATTTTTAAGGTAAGGTTGATATCTAGGCTACATACACTATGTAAAAACATACAGATTGAGCGCTCTACCGACGAAGTACATTGATGGTTCTTCGTTGGTGTGGCTGCAAATTATTTTAACTATGTAGTCTTATAGTTATATAACCGACGTAAGGTAAGAAGCTATGTAATTAAGAACCATTCTAGCGCGGAAAATTGATGGTTCCTTGCTGCATATTATTTTAGGAGCTTTATAACCAACGTAAAGGTAAGAAACTATGTGATTAAGAAACATACTAGCGCGGAACATTGATGGTTCCTTGCTAATACAAAATAACTTGTTTCAGAAACATTAAGTTTCATTTCTTTCGTGTTTCTCTTGTCGTTTAGGCTGCATGAACACGGTAGAGGGAAAAATATATATCAGGGAACTAGACTCACTAGATTATGGTTTAATCTCTTCATATTCCTCATATCTTTAGGATTCTAGAGTGAAAATGTTGCTCGTTTGTATTGGGCAACAAATTAGATGGGACGACGTAGAATAGTTGTCCCATTATCTTGAGACATCTTGGTTTCTCAGCGATGAGGGTTTTCTCCGTTTTCCGCCAGTTCGGGAGGCGTTCTCTACGACTGAATTAGTAAAAGAGAACATTAGTTTATTTAAAAAGAAGATTCTGAGTGAGAAGAAAAATTCAGATCTCAGCTCAATTCCTCTTTATTTAGAGATCTATTTCGGAACATTATCAATAAAGAGTTATTAATTGAACCAAGAATTATTTGTAAGAACTAAATTGAAAAAAAGCTAAGGTTGGATATTTACTACGACTAGATTTTGCTGAGAGAAATATACTTCTGAATAGTTACGATTTTTGTAACATTACTTATGTGGAGAAGAACATGATGTTTAACTTAAATATTCAAGGCTTTTTATACCGAATAGTATTTTAGAAATACAAAAAGAGGTTATTAAATTAAAATAAATTAAACCAAAAAAAACCAAAAAGGAGTTTAGGTGAATAAGAAGATTGAGGTCGCTTAAATATGACAGTAACCTGTGTAAAGCAAGACTTATAGCAAATGAAAAAATGAGATCCATGTGCACGCCCCTGTTCTCTGTATAAAAAAGATTTGAGATTCAGTTGATGCCGGTTTTCTCAGGGGCTTGTGGAAATATGTTTTTTACCGTTATTTTTCGTTGAGGGGTGCAGCTATGAGGTCCGCCACATCCTCTGAGGTTCGCCGGATCCGAGGTCATTCTCTCAGTAATTTATCTTCCAGGTTTCAGTTTAACTAGATAAAGAGAAAACCACGAAGAACGAAAAAAAAAAGAATTTCTTTTCCTTAACAACTAGGCCATCAGGTTTATAATTATAAAAGCAGATTAAGTTCTAATTTTAGAGTTGCAATTATTACTGGGTTCAAATCCATAATTTAAACATTGAAGAATATGAATTAGATCTTAGATTTGGGGCATAATTTAATATCTTGAGATCTTATTAATAAGTATGTACATCAGATTCGATTCAATCGGGTTGAACCTTTACAGGTGTCAAACGTGACATTAAAGAATACTACGTCCAAATGCAGGTTATTCAAGTATAAGACTAGGAGATTTTCGATTTTAAGCATAATTTAAAAACTTGAAATCTTGTTAATGAGAATATAATAAGATACGATTCATTAAGGTTAAACCTTTACAGTCCGTTGTGGTTCGTGAGCACGCCCTTGGTTTCTGTATAAAAAAAAACAATATATAAGATCCAATGAGAGTGAAAGCAATCTGCCAGTTTTCCGCGGGGCTTTTTAGAAATCTTTTTTACCGTTATTTATCAGATGTAAGGTGTAGATCCGTGATCACCAGATCCGGGATCCGTCTGGCTGTCAGTTGGGTCCCAGGTTTCGGTTTAACTAAGCATAAAGAAAACCTTGAATTTTTTGCAATCAAAGTCATTTGGTTTAGGGCTTTAACAAAGTATTTTAATTACATATACTTGATATTAAATCAAATTCAAATTTTAATTTCAGACACGTGATATTACAGTTTAAAATTTTAAACTAAGCATAAAGAAAACCTTGAATTTTTTTCAATTAAAGTCATTTGGTTTAAGGCTTTAACAAAGTATTTTAATTACATATACTTGATATTAAATCAAATTCAAATTTTAATGTGATATTACAGTTTAAAATTTTGACAGTGAAAGAGTAATTAAATTAAATTTTGACAGTGAAGACTTTTAAATCTGATTTTCGATTTTCAGTAGGGAAGATAGTAGAGATTCTTGAAATATTATTAAAGAGTAATTAAGTTAAATTTTGACAGAAACATTGATAATAGATAAGCAAAACATAGATAATAAACAAAGTATACTAGCATAACCCCAAAATTTATTACAAACCTTTGTGAATAAGCTATTGGATAAGTAAGTAAAGTTTATTTTGTCTTAGAGTCTATGAGTAGTAAAAAAGATATTGTAATATTTGAAAATAAATACTTAGATAGAGGTCTGAATAAAATGGAATTAAAGCAAGTATGAAACTAGAAGTTCTGATCTAATACAGTAAAAAGTTAATATTTCTAGAATCTTTTTTGGACCCATATATTATATATATAAGCGAATTAGCGCAATATATAGATATATATAAACAAATATATATGGATATATTTATATGGATGATATGTGGGTGATATTAAGCTGATATCTAGATGATATCACCCACATATCATCCAGATATCACCAATCCAATCCAGTATTCTTTCTTCACAAATTCACCCTATTATCATTTCTCCATCTGTAATAATCTTAATTAACGTAACACTCAAACAGCATACATCTTTAACAATTACATATTTAATATATGTTATACTGTATTAACTTACCGTTATACATGTTACAAGACTGTTTAAGTGGAACTTCTATTTATAAAAAATCAAGAATTTACTGACATTGAATCTAATGAAAACATCGATTTACTCCCAAATGATAGAAATTTTGAAACATTGTATTTACCAAAATAGTTGTGTAAACTTTTTTGCATATCAATTCTTTTGAAAAAATCATCAAATATTATTAAATTCTCATATAGAGGTTTCATGAATATATTGACACAGAAACTGGGATTCAAAAAGTCGAGTTTAAGTCGAGTTTATGCACCCAGATTTCAACCAGTTGGTGACCATGGAGTTCAAAAGTGGAGTTAAAGTCAAGTTTAAGTGGAGTTTTGAAATCCAAGTTTTCACCCTGACTTGGTAAAAGTGGGATTCAAAAAGTCGAGTTTACGTCGAGTTTTTCACCCAGATTTCACCCAGCTTGTGACTTGGTAAAAACTGGGATTAACCCAGTTGGTGACTGAATTTCACCCAGTTGGTGACTGGAGTTCAAAAGAGGAGTTAAAGTCGAGTTGAAGTGGAGTTTTGAAATCCAAGTTTTCACCCTGACTTGATAAAAACTGGGATTCAAAAATTCAAGTTTAAGTCGAGTTTTTCACCCAGATTTCATTCAGTTGGTGACTGGAATTCAAAAGTGAAGTTAAAGTCGAGTTTAAGTGGAGTTTTGAAGTGGAGTTTAATACAACTATTTATCATCTAGTTGTATCATCCAGTTGTGTTTCCTGAGTTGTGTTACCTGATATTTATTACATGATGGCGTGTCTAGCCAAACTTTTAAAAAGGTCTGATCTACAACATCAGGTTGCAATGACATTAGGAGTTTGTAGCAAGTAATCATGGTTATTTTGATTCGGATTGATGCCTAAAGCAAATGTAAAGTCAATATGTTAGCTTTTGCCTGTGGGAATCACTGTACGATGAAATCTGAATATAAATAGACTGCTGCTGGATATAATTACATTTTACTTCTCAATAGATGAAAAAAGATCGATTTAATAAAATCTTCTAAAACTTTGATAGAACATTATCAAAATTTGATAGAACATTATAAAAATTGATAGAAACTTATTAAACCTTAATAGAAACTTATAAAACTTAGAGAAAAGCTTATAACTTTTTACAGTCCAAATTCAAAACACATATCTTCTATCTATATAAAATTGTAATCTCTGTTTCACACTAAACTAAGCCGGCAAAAGGTAGGGTACGATCCGGTTCAAATTCGATTTGACTCTAGTCCACTGTGGCTTGTTTGTCCGATCATAACTCAGGAACCCCTACACTGATTTGCTTCAAATTTTGATTGGGGAACTCAGGAGAACCACGGGAATGTTCTTAGACTGAATTGAGTGGATCGACTTTTATAACGAGAATTTAGTTTCCCTTTAAAATCGACCAATTGCGGGTAATCGGCGGGATTCTCAAGCTTGTATCTAAACAAAATAATATTTAAAAAGGTTGGATCCGTGTTGGATTTGGCTGGAAAAAAAAACCCGAGGGCGAGAACACATTCAAGGAAAGTAATTACTGAGTAAAGTCTAGTCTATTCTAAAAGAATAATGAGCTATATTGCGTAGTGTTACAAGTTTACATTTTCTTTTTCTCTTTTTCTCAACATTCATATTTATAGAGCAGGTATAGCAGGGAATTAGATTTTCTTCAAACAATTCTATACATATACACAGATACAACTAATTAAGTACTCACGCGGGCTCACTGTGATTTAAAATATGCAGATTGTGACGAGGATATTGCCTTATACTCCACGCACTTTGTAGCTTTAAATTACTTATTAACTATCAAAAAAGTATGATTGTGTTATTAAGTCCAAGCAAATGGTAAAGTCTTGATGACGCTTCAAAGCTGGCCCTGTTCTTTTGTATAACGTTCAAAACTGTTCAGATCAATGTACTCAAGGGTAGAAATTTTTGTGAGATATGGCATTAATCACAACACTCGATAGACACAAGATGAAACTTTCAATTCTAAGAGTAATCCAAATAATCAGCTGACATTTGAGGTTAAATCAACGAGGTTATAGTAAATAGAGTGACGCTTATCCTTTACTAATTGTACAGGCCATGTACTTTACTTCCAAAGGTCTATCTGTATATTACAGTACTCGGGGGTGATTTCTGAAAATATTTAAATGGAGAATTTGTTTTCCATGTAACTATTAAAATCCACTACTCCTTTATCGTGCTCAGGATTCCATTTTCACAAGAAGACGTACATTTACATCCTTTTAAAGAGCAATATTTCATCGTTAATAAACTGTTCTAAGAAAACTGAGTAAAATTTAGGATACAAAACCTCCCCAAACACTTGTACTCCGAAAGCGTACTGCATATTTAATATTTGTACTGTATGAATAGGCCATTAATCTCTTAACATCCTTTATCAGTAAATGTAATCTATCCCAAGTGTACACGAGGCCAATACACACGGATTGGGTTAAATCTATGCACAAGGATATGATATTATCAAGATCGTGTACTCTTGAAGGTCTCCATGAGTAAATGTTGTGTTAAATGTACATATCTATATTGTACATGGTATTATTAAGATCATGTACTCTTGAAGGTCTCCATGAGTATATGTTGTGTTAAATGTACATATCTATATTGTACATGGTAGTATCAAGATCATGTACTCTTAAAGGTCTCCATGAGTATATTTGGTGTTAAATGTACATATCTATATTGTACATGGTAGTATCATGATCATGTACTCTTAAAGGTCTACATGAGTATATGTTGTGTTAAATGTACATATATATTGTACATGGTATTATCAAGATCATGTACTCTTGAAGGTCTCCATGAGTATATGTTGTGTTAAATGTACATATCTATATTGTACATGGAAGTATCAAGATCATGTACTCTTGAAGGTGTCCAAGAGTATATTTTGTGTTAAGTGTACATATCTATATTGTACATGGTAGTATCAAGATCATGTACTCTTGAAGGTCTCCATGAGTAAATGTTGTGTTAAATGTACATATCTATATTGTACATGGTATTATTAAGATCATGTACTCTTGAAGGTCTCCATGAGTATATGTTGTGTTAAATGTACATATATATTGTACATGGTAGTATCAAGATCATGTACTCTTAAAGGTCTACATGAGTATATTTTGTGTTAAATGTACATATCTATATTGTACATGGTAGTTATCAAGATCATGTACTCTTGAAGGTCTACATGAGTATATTTTGTGTTAAATGTACATACCTATATTGTACATGGTATTATCAAGATCATGTACTCTTAAAGGTCTCCATGAGTATAGTTGGTGTTAAATGTACATATCTATATTGTACATGGTATTATCAAGATCATGTACTCTTGAAGGTCTCCATAAGTATATTTTGTGTTAAATGTACACATCTATATTGTACATGGTAGTATGAAGATCATGTACTCTTGAAGGTCTCCATAAGTATATTTTGTGTTAAATGTACATATCTATATTGTACATTGAAGTTATCAAGATCATGTACTCTTGAAGGTCTCCACGAGTATATTTTGTGTTAAATGTACTGAAACACTGCAGACATTGTCTAGTTTAATATATTCCAACAGATAAAGAGAAAACAGATAAAATTTCACCAAGAAAACTTTACGTTAAAACTTTGCTAATCGACTAAAGAAATCCCCGCATCAAACCCTTGAAAGATCACAAATACTCTCTTAAACATTAGGTATCCAGTATTAACGTATAGTTTATAAGGTGTCCAAAAAATAAGGAAATCATTTTTTTTCCCTAGCACTCTCATTTTCGACACTGTTACCGTGAAATTTGGTAACTTTAAATGAAGAGTTATTTAATGGATTTTTTGTCAAAAAAAAATTATTTTTTTTATTTGTAGGGTAGGGTACAGGGCGGGAAAAAGTCCGGTCTGTGAGCAAAAAATCTAAAATAGGCCATAACTTAATTGTGACTAAAGCTACAGATCTAAAAAAACTTTATTTTTGAAAACCCCTTAAGAAATGCACTAGAAACTTGTGTCAAACTTGGATATTTGTTTAAAATAAAAAAAATCATTTTTTTTGACCCTTTTTTTTGCATTCTTTTCAACCTTCCATAAGTTCTCAGTCTAATCGAATCGGTTGTTGATATGTGTTCTCGAATATGACATAAATATCAACTGTCATTTACTACCCACACGTTTATTGGGACACACTGTATAAATAGATATATAACTATCCGCACTCTAACACAAACAAAGACAAAAAGTTCTAGAAGTTTACAGAAATAACACC